AGAATTCATTCACATTTTTGTTTTTATGTTTGCGCTTATGTTAATTTTTTATTTGAAACAGTCTCAGATTACAGAAATGTTGCAAGCAAATTTTGAAGAACGTTTTTTCCAAACCATTTTAGAGTAAGTTGTCAGCCTGATGTCCTATTGCCCCCAAATATTGTAGTGTCTGTTTCTTGTAAGCTAAGGATATTTTTTTTTTTTTTGGGTGAAAAATAATTGTATTTAGAATTAGCCAGCTGGACTCAGTTTAGATGATTCCAATTTTGTTGGCAACATCTAAAGCATCATAGTCAGGAGCCAGTTGAACATAGGACTTCTTCTCACCATCAGGCCTAATCAAGGTATTGACCCTGGCCACATCAATGTCATAGAGCTTCTTTACAGCTTGTTTAATTTGGTGCTTGTTGATCTTAACATCCTTAATGAACACAAGTATGTTGTCATCTTCTATCTTCTTCATGGCTGACTCAGTGGTCAGGGGAAACTTGATGATGGCATAGTGGTCAAGCTTGTTTCTCATGGGGGCGCTCTTCTGGTGGTATTTGGGGTGCCTTCAGAGTCTCAGTGTCTTATGCCGCTGGAAGGTGGACAACCTGTGGATCTTCTTTTTTTTTGTTTTTTGTGGCTGTGGACGCCCTTTTGGTGCCGTCATCGTAGAAAGGCCAACCATATTTCTTACATAGTCACATTCTAACCATCCAAATAAGGAAATAAACACTGATAGTTACTGTCATCTCATCTTTAGTTCTCATTTAGACTGTACCGAATGTCCTGAGGATGTCCTTTAGGCTAGCAAAAGGACCCCGTTCAGTACTTGGCCTTGTGTTTAGTTGTCATGTCTCTTTTATCTCCTTTAGTCTGAACCTATTTTTTACAGACTAGTTGTTTTATAGAATTCCTTCAGAATTAAATTCAGGCTTTGCATCTATGATAGTAGCATGATGTTATGTCCATCTCACTGCTTCATGTTAGATGATCATTGCCTATTGACATGTCACTGGTGATAATCCACATTAACCACTTGATTAAAGGTTTGCCAGTTTACTCCACTGCAAAGTTGCTCTTCCCCCACCCCCCCATAGATAAATATTTTGTGGGGAACTACTTTTTTTTATTAATTTTAATAAACATTTACAGAGGTTTTGGATTTCCATTCATTCATTGCCGCACTTTTTCTCCCTGCCCACCCCTTCCCACCAGTTCACTCCCCTCTCCGAAAAGAAAGAAATTCCTTCATTAGTACAATTCCCCCGTCCCTTCCCCCCACCCCCACCCCGAGTACACTTCTCTATGCAACCTTAATTCTGAATTCCTGTGCTAAACATAATACTCAATCATATATCACCTTTCATCTGTTCTTTCCCTCATCTTTTTCAATACAATATACATAATTTATCCAGTTTTTTCTGTCAGATCCATTCTACAACAGTGGCACCATGCAGTATTTGTCCCTCTGTGACTGAGATATTTGACTCAGCATAATGGCCTCCAGGGTCACCCATTTTGTATAATATTGCATAAGCTCCTTGTTTTTCAATGCTGCGTAGTATTCCATTACGTGGGTATACCACAGCTTCTCTATCCATTCGTTTGTTGATGGGCCCTTAGGCTGCTTCCAACTCTTTGGTATTGTAAACAAAGCTGCGATAAACATGGGTGTGCATATATTTGCTTGGATGGCAGACATGGTCTCTCTGGGGTATATTCCCAGTAATACGGGATTGCTGGGTCAAATGGTATCTCTATTTGCAATTTTTTGAGAAAGCGCCACACCACCTTCCACAATGGTTGCACTATCTTACATTCCCACCAACAGTGAATAAGAGTTCCAGTGTCTCCACATCCTCTCCAGCATTTGTTGCTTGCTGTTCTGTTATATTTTGCTATTCTTACTGGGGTGAGATGATATCTCATAGTTGTTTTGATTTGCATCTCTCTCAGAGCTAGGGACTTTGAACATTTCTTCATGTGCTTGTTGGCCATCTGAATGTCATCTTTGGTGAAGTGTCTGTTCATATCCTGTGCCCATTTCTCAATTGGATTATTTACCTTTATCTTATTGTGGTATTCAAGTATTTTAGAAATTCCTTATATAACTCCCTTATCTGACATGTCATTACCAAATACTTTTTCCCAGTCTGTGGCTTCCCTTTTTACTCTATTGGAGAAGTTTTTGGATGTGCATAGGGATTTGATTTTTAGAAGGTCCCATTCATCTATTTTATCTTCTCCTGGTTGTAGATTTTTCAGGATACTTGGAAGACTTTTTATGTTGCGGATTAGGACCACTAAAGTTCTTCCAAGCTTTTCTTGAACGAAGTTTATAGTCCTTGGTTTTAGTCCTAGGTCCATGATCCACCTTGAGTTGGTTTTTGTATATGGAGTGAGGTGTGGATCTTGTTTGAGTCTTCTGCATACAGCTTTCCAATTTTGCCAGCATCATTTGTTAAAAAGGCTGTCATTTTGTGGGGAACTACTTTTAACTATCTAAAAATAATCTACTTTTCATCAAACTTTGTTAATTTATTTGCTCATATCAATATTGATTCATGATTTCCTGTTTTATTTTTACCATAATTATTTATTCTTATATTGTTCTGGGTTTGGCTAGTGGAGATCCCTTCCTAGTACTTCCCAAGGCTCTTTGATATGTCTCCACTGGGCTTTATCACCCGACGTTGTGTCAGTGTTCCTTGAGCTCAGATGCTCACACCAGCTGGCTGCCCTTCCCATGCAGGACGCCTGGGCACATGCTTTCCTCACTGGGCTCCCGAGTCTCTATCCTGGGCTCTTGCCCCAGTCCAGTTTTAAGTTTCCCCCTATTATGCATTTTTACTTTGTTGATGATCTCTTTTTTCATTATAACAGATTTTAATTTTTAGTTTTATAGAGACATAATTTAGGACCCTTAAAACTATTTAAAATTGTTCAATTCAGTGATTTTTAATAGATTCATAGGTATGAGTAGCCATTACCACACTCAACTTTAGAGCATTTACTTCATGTCAGGAAAAACTCTATACTAGTTAAACTACTGTTCCTTACATCCTCATTATGCCATTCCATAAGCAGTCACGGATCTGCTTTCTGTCTATTATATGTACTCATTGTGGACATTTCATAGAAATAGGATCACAACATGGTATAATTGTGATGCCTTCAAATTGGTTTATTTTTTTCCCTTTATGATTTCTAGGTTTTTTGACTAAAGAGGATCTACGCTATTCTGAGATTAAACAGTTTTCTTCTAAATCTGATAATTTTATAGATTATTTTAAAGATTATATAAGGCAGGGATTATGCCTATTCCATTATTATGAACACCATAATTTTCTCTTCCAGTTCAATTATTACTTTTATCCCATTCTGAGTTTCTCTTTTTTTAAATTAATTTAGTTTGTTTATTTTTCATTTCAATGAACATCTACAGAGATTTTGGAATTCCATTCATTCATTGTTGCACCCTTC